CACCATTTATCTAGACATATTTTGATTTCTTGTATCTTCTGTATCCAGTTTTACATCACCACCACCATTTATCTAGACATATTTTGACTTCTTGTGCATCTTCCGCATCCAGTTTTGCACCACCACCATTTATCTAGACATATTTTGACTTCTTGTATCTTTTGTATTCAGTTTTACACCACCACCATTTATCTAGACATATTTTGACTTCTTGTGTATCATCTGTATCTAGTTTTATACCACCACCATTTATCTAAACAACATGTTTGACTTCTTTTGCATCTATATTGAATTTTACACCACAATTACTGCTTTAGACATAATTTGTTAACAACTTGTGTATTTCTTATATTTAGTTTTTTCACCACAATCACTATTACAGAGTATATTTTGATGCACTGCTTATTTTTCCTCCAGTTCTTCCACCACCTCCACCACCACTTCCACAGGCAGATTTTAGTGGACTAACAAATGAAGAATTGGAGGCTTTAGAAGGAGAAGAGCGAGAAAATGTTGAGGCTAGGATTCGATGTCTTCGTAACATTCAAACACTTCTCGATGCTGCTGCTCTTCAGATGCAACAGTACAGTGCTGTTGTATCTTCCTTAAGGTTAGAAAACAGCTAAATATAAGAAGTGCTGTATCATGACTTAGGTTTTCTCAGTCTTTAGCGTAGTTAAATTTGTTTTTTTTGTGAAAGTGGTTTATCATAACTTCAAAGCTTGTGATACTTAAGTATTCCTCAGTCCATACCTATAAACAGATGTACTTGAGTGGTTTTGTTATATTAGTAAATTTTAATTGTAGGTGATTTTGTTTGTTAGGTTTTATGATTATATAACACTTCTTTAGTTATTTTAATTAGCAAGAAGTTAATATATTAAAGATATTATTAGCATGTATAGTTTCACGAGACTAGCACATGTACTGACTGAACTCTGTACAACACATTAGAAGGAGTACAAGAACTACAGTAACAAGCACTACAGGAACTGATCCGTCTGGCCCAAGTGTCAGTGCTCCATCAACTAGTAAAGCACCACATGAAGTTTCTGGTGAAGCTGCAAAACCAAGTACCAGTAATCAATTTCAAGCACCCAGTTTTTCTAAACCAGAATCTGGTGATATTAACCAAGGTAGGTAAACAGGTTTTGGTATTCATAAATCTGAAATGTGTGGTTTTTGTAAAATAATATATTTATATGAATGTATATTAGTGTACAAATAAATTATGGACATCCTTAGATAACATAAAATAGTTACATCAAGAAAGGTGAACATTAAAAAAAAAAACAATTGCATGATTTTACTTTAAAAGTTAACCAAATAACGTAAGCACTGCTTATCATAACAAGATGGATACCTAATAAATAAACTTAGTACTCCGAAAATTGTTTAGTTTTGAAATCTAAGTTCAAGGGAGGTCCAGTTCAATCTACACTTCAACGTATGTTATTGGGTTATACTAATTTCAAATAATTCCACTCCTCATCAGTAATCCTTAACACAAGTTAACCAAAGAGAGATAAGCTGGACCTATATCATAGTGGAAAGTATCAAACATATTGTTGGTGTGAGTGTGTTTTGTTGTCACTATAAGAAAGAACCTATACACTGGATAGGTGAAGGGTTTAAAAGTTTCATTGGCTACTATTCAGTTCTTCACATTATATAGCCACAATGCTTTGGTTAACTTGTGTTCAGGGTTACTGGTCCAGTGTATAGATTTTTTCTCATAGTGACTACAAATCACATTCACACCAACATTATGTTTGAAAATGGATACCATGGTTTTTTACTCAACTTTCTTAATTAGGAATGAGACTTTTGTGATTTCCAACTTTTTACTGTCACCTGGGGCTGTTCACAATATTCACAATAACCTAGGGAGGAAGATACTTGTCTGATTTACAGTTCCAGTAACACACTTAAAAAATAAAATGTTCAAAGTCGAAACTTTGTTGTTGGGAGTAAACCACAAGTTGTGAAGATTAATAAAAAGTTGATTTACCAGAAAATATTTTATTCACAACATGTAACAAACTTACAAACTCTGCTTCTTAGGATTTGCTTTAAAACTTTGACACATGAATTCCTAAAAAGTACATAGAATTGTCAAATGACTAAACAAATTTGGTTAATTTACAATAAAACTAACACACACACACACACACACACACACACACACACACACACACACACATGCCTGTTTTGGGGTGTTCATTTAAAATCATTAGATTTTGTATTTTTCTGATAGACAAACACATAAACTTCCATCTAATACCATTCAATATCAGGCAATATCAGTACTTAGTGTTTTATAAAAGCTAAACTTTCTTTGAGCTTGTGCATTACATGTGTTAAGTGATTTTAGATCCACAGTTTCTTGATTATTTTCACTTGTCCATTTGCTTTTAATGTTTTTTATATGAAAGGATATAGAGACAGACATAAAGATACAAATTTACAGCTAAATATACGGTTTAAAATTGAAGTTTATGTTACAGTGTGTCTTATAATTGCACTTTCCAGTACTAGTTTTTTGGTTAGGGATCATGTTTTATAATAAAGGATAGAAGAGATAAGAGAAACTTCCTGATTGGTCAGGAACCAAGGTGTTTTATAATAAACAAAGGAGGGTTATGAGAGATTTCCTGATTGGTCAGGAACTAACTTTATAATAAACAGAGATGGAATAAATAATGAAACTTAGTGATTGGTCAGAAACTAACTTTGTCATAAACAGTGATGGAATAAATAATGAAACTTAGTGATTGGTCAGGAACTAACTTTGTCATAAACAGTGATGGAATAAATAATGAAACTTGGTGATTGGTCAGAAACTAACTTTGTCATAAACAGGGATTGAATAAATAATGAAACTTAGTGATTGGTCAGGAACTAACTTTGTCATAAACAGTGATGGAATAAATAATGAAACTTAGTGATTGGTCAGGAACTAACTTTGTCATAAACAGTGATGGAATAAATAATGAAACTTA